TAAAAATGTTAAATGTATTGCAAAGCGCATTTAAAGTAAAAGCTAATTTCTATTCTGGAGGAACTAAACATTTCGCAACAGCAGTAACTAATCAACTGAACTGATATATTCCCTTTCCAACCTTTTATAGCATTTAACCGGTCGCGAGATATTTCTAGTGTTTCCTGTTTCTCAAAATTACTGGAAAGCAATAAGAGGATGGAACTACAGTTACGGCTAACCTAGTGGTTAACTACATTTATTCAATTTCATTAAAAATTAGTGAGGTATCTATGTATTAAATGTATGTGCCCCTTTATTCTTACTTTTCTGGCATAGCTTTCTCTTAAAAATTTATCTCGCACTGTATTACACACGGAAATACAACAATTTTAATTAGAATTCTACTAAAATTAGCTATTTAAATACAAAATTCATAACATTATATTCAAAAATGAGAACTCAACAAATTTTTCATAGCTAAACACTAAATCTCAGTTTAGACATTAGTTTTAATAAAGTTACTGATAAAGCTTCTTTACTTAGTGAATTGGATTATTAATTAGCGAATTAGATTTCTCTGAAGTTTTTTAGTTGCCCAGACGAATAGTGGTTAGGGGAGTGGCTACTGTGGTAGCAAAGGGCCTGAGTTAGAATCCCGGAGAAGGTATGGTTGTAACTGTCTGTTCCTTCGTAAGTGGCAACGGTGCCTTCGCAATAATTGCTATTGTGTTAGATGCCTCCATAATGGCCATTCCTAAAGCCACCACTTCTGGCTTTAGAAGTAAAGTGCCTGCCATTGGATTAAAATAATAAATTAATTAATTAAAAAAATGAAGTTTTTCACATTCTCAAAAAGTTATCCTCTTCAGTTAATGACATTTCTTCCTCTTCAGTTATTCGTAATGCTTTTATAATTCTAATAGCTTAGCTTTTTATGGTACTATTTCATTAGAACAGTGCCAATTAAAAATGTGCCCCCCTTTTTTTGGCCACCAATTATCATGAAGTATAAAATTCTAAAATAATAATAAGAGTTCAAAAGACTAAAAAAAATTAGTTCTGTGAATCAGTATTGCAGAAAAAATTTCTGTTTTTGAATATAACAGGTGCCACATAAATTCTATCAAGTAGATGGCGAGCAGTGCCCCACTTAAGTTTTTTTCGTTGTTTTGCACTGCCCCATAATCGCTGCACAGTTTGGGTATGCTTGTGGGGTTTACAAAATTATAACCTTGATTCACAGTGGAAATGTTCGTTAATTCCTCTTTCTTATATCCTTTCCATCAGTCAAAAAATAGGCTGCCATCTCTGATGTTTTCCTGAATGGCTATCATCTATGTTGTAGCACAACGATTGGGAACAGTGACCAGAAAATATTCTTTGCTTTCCCGGAATACCCATATTTCTGGAAGAACACATCTAACATTGTCTTTTCTTTTGTGAAAGGACTTTAAAGTACTTATTCTAATTTATTGTCGTACTATGGCTGTTTTCTAACTGAAGTTTGCAATATTCAATCAGCATCAATTCTTGTTAACACACATCCACTGCAGAGTAAAATGAATGGCATTGAGGAAAGAAACTCAAGAGCCTTCAAACCATGCTTTTGGCTCTCGGTCCCTTTTTGGTCACAGTAAGAACGTACGTAACAATGTCATATGGGAGCTTTGTTTTAGTTAAAAGTTAACTTCATCGCATGATTTTGAGAACAAAGTCTATGAATTATTCCTTTGTCCTGAAAGAATCTTATGACATCCTTTTTGTCATTATGTAATTGCAAAATTGTGTTATCCATTGTATTAAAAAAATGACAAAATATGACAAAAAATAATGACTTATGATATTTCAAATGAGAACTTGAAATTTCGAGCCACAATATTTCAAACATAAGTAAAAAATTCTCAAAAACTGAGTGACTATATCTCAAACGAAAACTAGAAATCTCAACCCACAATATTTCAAACATTAAATTCTCGAGCCACAATATTTGGCGTGTTGTTGAAGCATGGTTTTCTTCTAATTTTTTCATCATTTTTAACTGATACCACTCTAACAGAATAATACCCTTTTGATTTATCATTACCATTTTGCTTGGCAGATAGTACTATGTTCATGCTCACTTTGCTCTGCCCATTATTTTCAGTGCAAAACCAGCCATCACTGCACCCATTTGTAGAAATTTTTTTTTTTTGCTCCTGAAAAAGGAGTGTCTCTCTGATTGTCCTTGAAATCATTAGAATTTTATTCAAAATATATTCCAAAGAAAACCTTTTTTGGCCTGTTCTTAAAGATAACTGGTCAATTAAAATCTCAACTTACATAGTTAAGATCTTTTTAATCTTTTAACTTTAATATTATGAGACTGCATTACTCATTACAGGGTTGCCATGCTACCTGGAAAAGTCGGATTTCATACAGCGATCCCCCCAAAAAGTGATTTTTATGCCTTTAGAAGCGATCACTTTCTTGGCAAATTATGTATAACGTGAGCGTCATTCGAGCAGCTGGCATAGAGCCAATTTTTTGCAGCTCCTATTAGATTGTCTTTTAGAAAGGCAAAGCAAGTTTCCAGTGACTTTGGTTTCCAGTAACCTCGAGAATTGAGAAATTTGCATGTTTAGTACATGTTGAATGAAAGAAAATACCTTCCTGTTCTCGTATAAAGCAAAATTTGGTTAATCCTAGTATACAGTACACATGGGGTTTGGCGGCATTATCGTGAGCAGTGAACGGGTCATTTTGGTGTTGGCTACAATTTTCAAAATCATGCTATAATGCTGTACCGTACATTAGGATTTTACTACAAAATCTTTTAAACCTTTTTTTTCCTTCTTTTTAATAAATGTCTTATTTGTCATTTTGCAGTAAAATAAAAAAAAAAAATAGTAATCGGCCGTCTAGGCTAACCATTTAATATAATTATTATATTTGCCAAAATATTGTTGGTTATTGTAATTCAGTTTTTAATCTTTAAGTAATTTACTTTTTTTTTAATGTTGTTCGTATCATTTAATGTGGCTTCTTCCTTCAAATTAATTTATTACAGTCAAAAGTCTTTAATCCGGACATCCATAATCCGCAATGATCCATAATCCGAACCTCAAAGCTACAAACTTTCTGCACATGCGCGTTTAATGTATAACGGACGGTATAAGCTAAGCTAAAATTATCTATTATCTTTCAGTTAATGTTGCAGATTGCATTATTCCTTAATCTTCGAATTGGATTCAGCTTATTATTTTTTGTAGACTATTAGAGCAATTTTATAAAAGTAAGCTTGAACTTTCGATTATGTCAAATAGAACTTCCGATGCTGGATACTGCCAAAGGATCTACAAAGTGAAAGCATGTTTCGATGTCCATCAAACAAAAAGTGGAATTGCTGCAAAAAATGGATAAATGCATATCCTTTGTTTCTCTAACCATTCCAAAATCTGCTTATCAATTTCACACTGCTCTGCGGGGGAGGAGAACGTCGCGGTGCGCAATGAACTGGAAGTTGATCTGTCAGCACTATTCTTATCTTCGGGGCAGATGTTTTTATTTTATTCGGCTTATAGTTCATTACTAAATGTAGTATTTCATCTCGATGTACTCTGTCTTTGATATGATTTAAAAAAATTCCTCTTCATTATAAATATCACGAACACACATCAAATAGTTTTCTGGTTGCAATTTTCTAATTTCGACTATGCGTAATGTATGCTTTACGCATGCGTGCATTGAAAGAAATGTTTAATAAAGTAAACAAATAAATATTAACCTTTTTTTTTTTTTTTTTGGTAAATTTTGATACCATTTAGATCATAATTGTTCTTTATTTCTTAAATTACGGTTTCAAATTTTTAATTTTAGAATTTCTGCACGTCATCTTACCAGATTTAAACTGATGATCTATAATCCGGAAAAACTGTATAATCTGGAATCGCCGAAGTCCCGGATCGGATTAAGGTTTGACTATTAATATCTTCAATTCAGGCAATTTTGTCTACTCCTGAAACTATAAGCAGATGAGAATGCCCACTAAATTTAATGCACATATTTTTTGCTTATGTGTGCTCTAAATAAATATAAATACCTGAATTTATTTTTAAATATCATTAATAGATTTCTCTTTTGTTTAACTTCAAGATGTTTGCATAAAAAGACATTTTTTAATCCAGGTCTGGCAGATTCTAATATTGGTCTTCAGTGGAGAAAACTCCTATCATAGTTATTATCCTAATGCTTTAGGGATAAGTCATATGTAATTGGCAATTTTTGTGCTTTCAAGTGATACCACAATTAATTTGCCGGTGCGCACTATGCGGATAGACTGGAATTTTCTTAAAACACACCTGGAAAACCTGAAAAATTCAGAGAATTTCATTCTCCTGTTTGAGTGAGAACTCTGCCATTAGAACATACTTTCAAAATGTATGAAATCAAATTCATTATACAATAATCATACCATTTAACAAGTATTTAAATCAACCTTTATAAACTAATATTTTGATGTGTTTCAAAGAAAATTTGTAGGTCGAAATTTTTTCTCCTGATATGTATTGTATATCGATATTATGTTTACAGTGATTAACTTTTGGGTGAAAAGTTACTCTTTTTTTAATAATCTTTTTAAGTAACTCTTTTTTTAACCTTCTTTTAATAAAGTGTATTTTTAATATCAAGTAATTTTCTCTTAATATTATAATTTTGTGTGATGTCTTGACCAAGATATTCTAAAGATTATTAAGTTGGTTAAAAGGTTTTGTCGTAAAATTAATTTCATATCAATATTATAATTTTAATGATTAACTTGAGCAAGAGATTTTCTCGTGACAATAGCAATGCGAACAAGAAAAGAAGTAATCTAATTTTATCAATACTATAAAAATCAACATTAGCCAAAAATTTTTTGTAATATTAGTTGTATATGGATGTTATCATTCATTAATAATTGTATACAAAAAATTTTTATCTTTTTAAAAAGCAATAAATCTTGAATAAGATTTTACAGTATATTTGTCATTGAATTTTAGGTGTTGAGCCGTATCCACTCTATGTGAGCGTTGACAGCGGGGGACATACCAAAGCAAATGCTATAACTCTGTATACTCGTTACTTATTGGCTTACTTAACAGGCATAGGAGTACCCGATCGGGATAGGAAGAATTGTAGTGGAGATTCTCAAAATCAGGTGAGTGGTTCAGACTAATTTACTGAGGCCGATTAACAAAATAAGATGCTGCTTAACCCCCAGTTACAGCAGTTTAGTGTAGTGAGTATTTCTGGGATTTTCTCAAATTTTAGATTTTCTACAGATTTTGTGAACAATGGACTTTACTTTGAATGGAGAATAAATCTGTTAATATTGGATTTTTTGTATTATTTTTTAATGTATGTTATAATTATTAACTTATTTTTATTAATTTTTTTCCTTTTCATATTGGAATTTCAAAATAAATAAATAGCGAAGGAATTTTATTCCAAAACCAAACTGTAAGATTGAATTATCCTAAGACTGTAATATAAGAAGTAGACATTTCTGAAAGTGCTTTTGGTCATTATTGAATGATTCTTTTTTTAATAAATATTACCACTTAATAAAAAAAATTCTATGTAAATCCAGTATGATGTATAAAAATGCCATCCAATTAACTGGTAATCTTGATCTGAAATATCAATGTTGAGTCTTCATTTCCTGAATATAATTGGTTAAAAATGAGAATTTCAATTAAAAATGTATAATACAATTTTTAGGTATTCAAAAATATTTTTAACAGCATTCAAAACTCAAACATCAAGTAGTTTATATATATTGAAAAAACAAGTATCAATAGAAATGAAGAAATTAAATTATATGTGGCATTTTAGAACAATATTCGCAAAAGAACTTTAATAGTTCTATTAACAATGTGTATATAATCTGGATTATATGTAATTGAATTGCATTCTGCTGTTGATAAAAACAAATTTCAAATAGTATAACATACTCTGTTATTCCTGCTGTTTCCCAGGTTGTGATAGCAGATCTTTTCCGTTTTGTATTTTCCATAGACAGTCTCCCCGCGATGTTGATGCATAGACTCCAACTACTACGGATTCTCCGTAGTTTCTACGGAAATTCATGAAAAACTACGAGCTACGAAAAGTATGGAAAAAACTACGGATTTTACAGAAACAAGAGCAGGAGAACCAGTACGCAAAACGGAACCAACTAATTCATCCGATGATTGGCTGAATACTCGTGTTATCATATATCACGTGTTGAGTGCGTTCCTAGTTTTGAGCCAATCGTAGATCAGTAACTCCAACCGTTAACGACTTATCAATAGTTCCACCCAATTGTCTGTCTCCCAGGTTTCTTGCTGATGCGTGTTTAGGCTGCATTCGGCTGCATTGTGTAGTTTACGGCGAGAGCTTAGCGTGTGTCTTGTGAACTGTGAATCAGGTGAAAGATTTTTAATCATAATGCTGCCTCAAACGAAGAAGCCAAAATTATCAAAGCAGAAGTTTAAAGATTCATATTCTTCAGAATTTCCATGCATTAAAGCGTCCGAAATTTCTGTGAATCACGCACACTGCAGTGTATGCAACAAAGACTTCTCAGTTGCTCATGGCGGAAAAGATGACTGTAAACGGCATGTGTTTTCTCAAAAGCATATAGAACTTGGCACCGTAAAATCTAAAGAAATAACAAATTTCTTAATAAAAGATGATGAAACAGATCCTATAAAAGCCGAATGCTATTTTGTTCGTTTTTTAATTGAACATAATCTACCGCTTTCTGTTTCGGATCATTCCAAAGAGCTTTTCAAAGCAATGTTTCCGGATTCTGCCATAGCAAAAAAAATTTAGCTGCGGTCATACCAAAACTGCTGCTATTGTGAAAACGCTTGCAGAAAATACTGTTGCTGATATTATAAAATCAGTGTGCAGTACATCATTTTCTCTAAGTACTGATGGAAGTAATGATAACAATGATAACAAACTGTACCCATTGGTTATAACATACTACAGTAAAGAGAAAAGGGAGTGATAATTACTTCATTGATTTCTATTTTAGAATGCACGAATAATACAGGAGAAGGTATTTTTAATTGTATAAATGAAAACTTTAAAAACAAAGGTTTAGAATGGAAAAATTGCTTATCATTTTCTTCAGATAATGCTAGTAATATGATTGGAAAGTTTAAAGGTGTAGCATCATTTATCAAAATGCATCAACCAAGTATAATCACCCGAGGTTGTCCGTGCCACCTCTTGCATATAGCTGCAAAAAAAGCTACTGAAAAATTAATTGGCTCAGAAATTGAAATGTTGATAATAGATATATATTTTTACTCTGGAGAAAAGTTCGAAACGGAAGCATAGCTTCAAAGTTGCTCAACACAAATTTTGGGACAGAATGGCAAAATCTCATAAAATTTTGAAATATTGCAGTACGAGATGGATTGTCTCTTCTAGAATCTATAACAAGGATTTTGGAACAGTGGGATGGTTGTGATTAAATTTTTTTGGAGATAAACCAGATAACAGTGAGAATGAAAGGGAAAGAGATTGCAAAACATTAAAAAAAAATTTTACAAGTCACCGACCACCAAATTGTACTTGTTATTTTTGAAAAATACTTTCATCTTTGTTTATAACAGTAAATATTAATTTGCAACAACAAGCTCCTTATATACATAAATTGAGAAGAGAACTTTTGAACTTTTAATGAATTTATTTGTTAGATTCGTAAAACCATCAGTAATTTCTAAAGAAAATGAAGATGTTACTCTAACGTCTATTCCATTTCAGAAGTATAGTAAACAAAAAGAAAATGAAAATTTAGTGATTGGTGGTGCAGAAACAAGACTATATTTAAAAAATGCCAAGTTGAATGAAAGTGAAGTGAAATCATTTTTCAATTCTGTGCGAGCTTTTTTTTTGTAACTGCATGTTCATATATAATTGATAAATTTCCACTGAGTGATCCATTTCTAAAACATGCTGAAGTTGCTGACATCAACTGGAGAACTGAAGTCTCATTTTCATCTGTTCTTTACTTGATGAATACTTTTCCATCCATTATTGATGAAAAATGTCTTAATCAAGTAGAAATTGAATTTTCCATGTATCAAGTAGATGATTTGAAAGAAATTGTAGATTTGCGTATTGATATAGCATGGGGAGAAATTGCCAAATTAAAAAATATGAATGGGTATTAAATACAAAGTATTGCCTTCTGTAATGCTTGCTGTCTTAATAATACCTCATTCAAATGCAGCTTGCGAAAGAATTTTTTCTATTGTTAAAAAAAATCAGACGGAATTTCGACCAAATTTAGGTCTTAAAACTCTTGAAGCAGTTTTGATTGAAAAAATAAATATGCAGGCAAATGAAGGACTGCAGGCAAATGAAGGTTATAAAAAAACATTCTCAAAATCAGAACTTAAGCTTGCTAAGCATGCTACATATAAATCTTTGCATTCATAAATTATGCGTATTTTGTTTAATACTTATATGTATCATTCTTGGTTATTTAAATTTTATTTCCCTGTAGAAATCATATACAGAATAAAGATATGATTTATAGCTTCTGATTTTTTCTATGATTAGTAGTGATTTGAAGTACTTTTTATTAGTGAATGCTTGAGGAGTTAAAAGAAAATTTCTAATTAAATGTGCATATAATTTACAAGGTATATTTTTAATTATTCAGTTTTATATGTATATGGATTTTAAATGTAATAAAATTGATTACAATTAATTATTAATTTAAAATTAATGAATGGTTAATTACAACATACGCTACGCGCACATTTTCAAAGTTGTAAAAATGTCGTTCGCGCGTTGACTACTGACAAGGTTTGCTGAAGGTTGGAGTCTATGTTGATGATTTATGTCTGTAATTTTTCATCATTTTACAGAAAACAAACTTTAGACATTTATTTTTAGACAGGGCCCAATTAATCTGCCTGTAAACAGATCAAGAGCTGATTCTAAATTCCTTTTAGAGAATGAACAATTTCTAAATTCATCTAGATTTAATATTTCTAGTAAATATCCTTATCTACTTCTTTGAATGATTTATATTTTCTGCCTATATATTTCTCTTAATTTGCTTCATAAAATGTGTAAGGCAAATTATATTTCTAAAATGTTTTTAATTATTTGATTGTATTTTTTTTTTTTTTTTTTCTTTAAAGTATTCAATACTGTTACTGATTTGATAGAAGTTGTTCATATTATTATGGAAAGTTAAAGAAATTAAAAGATGAATTGGGGGACCTGGTAATTGCAAAAGAGTTTATTATCAAAGTAATTAACTGTGTGATATAAAATACTTGTACTGATAATTAATTTGATTGCAAATGCTTCTTGTATACCATGTTTGGACAATTAATGGTAATGCTTGTTTTTTGAAACTATCTGCATTTATAATTTGCTTTTCAGTATTTTTAAGCGGTAAGTGTATCATGTTAGAAATAAAAATGTAATTACTATTTATGTCATTAAACATTTTTTACTGGTACCAAAATGGATTGCCATCTAAAACTGGTATAATACATAATGCACTAAGTGAGGTTATTGTACAGTGCTTAAAATTTATTGCTATTAGGATTATAAAATCTGTTTCTCTAATTTTCATTTAAGAACTTTGTCAATCAGTGGTATCATAGTAAAATAGTGCATCAGTCACTTTCATTTAAAAAAAAGTTGCCATCATTGTTATCTAAAGAAATATGCAAGATCAATATCCACTATTTAAAAATAGTTATGTGATATAAAACTGGAAATTTTTGGTCGTTGATTTACATTTATTTTAAAAGCTGTTGCTGATATTGCCAAATTAAAAACATAAAGTGATGTATTTTTTAACTTTTATGTAAAGTCTCCTCTCATCTGTGTTATCAAAGTAAAAATATTGTTTCATGCATACGGGCTCATAGTAAATTGAATGCACAAGTCCAATGAAAATGAATAAAAATTTATTATTGCCACAGCAAATAATACAAAACACTTAAATTTCCTCAAATATTTGTGCAATACCGCAATATCTCACAGTAGTTATCTTTTAAACCACCGAAAACGTTCAACAGAACTCAATTCAAAATAGAGAAAGCTAATCAGATTTCACCGCGAATTTACTGCAATCATTAATAGCAATAAGTAAACAACTGCAGTTTTCTAAACAAACTCTGAATTGAGAGGTTTTGATCCCGCTTTTATAAGCTTTTTAATCAGCACGAGCATTGTCTGGTTATTTTCTCGATTTTCCCCGAAAAGCAAAAGCATGCAATTATGAGATATCTATTTATTTAAATGTGCATGCTCATGTATTTTTAATTTTTCCAGCATAGTTTTCTCTTCAAATATGTCTCGTTCTACATTGCATGGTAATATAAAACAATTTTAAGGAATTCTATTTAAAAATAGCTAATTCAATACAAAAACTGTAACACTATATTAAGTGTATAATGTAAGAGACAAAAAAAAAAAAAAAAAAAAGAGACTAGGTACGTAACTTGGAAAAAAAAGGGGGAATCAGAATTGGCAATAATTGTTTTAGTGATGTAATTCCTATGTTCCTCCTCTGCCTATGCTGCTACTTTCTACTCAACCAGTCATGACAGTTAGTATTGCATCAGTGAGTGAACACGTGCAACTGCATACTGTGGGAAAGTGTCTAATGTAAAAACTGAACAGAGGATCAACATCAAGTTTCTTGTCAAACTTAAAAAATCAGCCACAAAACATTTCAGATGTTAGCTAAGGCTTATGGAGATGAAACTGTCTCGGGCACATGAGTTCGAATGGCATAAACAGTTTTTGGAGAAAAGGAATAATGTGGAAGATGATGATCATTCTGGGCACCGAAGGTCAGCAGTTGCAGACCCAAACATCGCCAAATTTCGTGAGATGATCCAGGTGATGAAAACTAAATGTTTGTGCAGTGGGGGAGTTGGTTAACTTGAATAGGAAGCTGTTAAATGAATTACACATGAGGAAGATTTGTGTAAAGCTTGTGCCAAAAGTTCTCTTTGATGACCAGAAACAGTGTCTTATAGACTTATGCCTGGACATGTTAGAACACATTAGAAAAGATCCAGATTTGTTGGAATCTATTTTAACTTGTGATAAAACATGGATTTTTACCTTAGATTCTGAAAGTGAATACCAGTCAATGCAGTGAAAGTGTCCGGGATCTCCAAGACCCAAAGCACATATGTCAAAATGAGAGTTCAAGACAGTGTTGATTGTCTTCTTTGACATTAAGGGAATTCTAATGGTTAAATGGGTTCCCAGTGGTTAGACTGTTACTCAGCTGAAATACACTAAAGTACTAGAAAGTCTTTATGAAAAAATTAGAAAAAGAAGACCAGAGTTGTGGTGTGATGGATGATTGTTGCACCAGGTCACCTTGAGTGTGATAACATCACAAAGAACTAATTCCTCAAGGACACTCATTTTTTGTGTCATAACTCATAACTTTAATTTTTAGATTGTTGCAATGAAATTATTAAACTAGTGGTGCAGAATGTTGTCTACAGCTTTCATTTATTGTCAATCAGTATAGTAGAAAAAATATATAAAACGAAATGTAATGACTATCATTTAAAAATTGTTAAATAATTTTGACTGTGAAACTTAGAATGGAAAAAAATATTGATTTTAAAAAATATTTAAAAAATAGATTGATGCTATTGGGTATACATCATCAATCATATCCAGTATTTCATAATAGCAGTTAAATTGCAATAGTGTAATGCCCCTGGCTATGGGCATTACACTATTGCAATTTAACTTTTACTTTCAGGACCTTTATCATTCCATCTTTCAACAAGATAATGTGATACCATATGTTGTTTATACTTTTCATGTATTTCCTTAATACACAAGTTGTTTGATTTTGCCTTTGCCAGTACATTCTCTAGGTTTCTCACCTGTGGAAAATATTGGTCAACAGTTGCAGACAGATTGACAGGACAACTTCAAGCCAGCATAACATGAATTCTGGCATAGGATTGTAGCTGTGTAAACTGCATTACTCTTAACTAACTCCATGTTATAGCTGTCAACTGCCCCAGTAGATCATGGAATTTCTCAGTTTTTGATTTTTACCCTTTACTAAAAAAATGTTTCTAAGCAATAAATGAAATCGTAGGAATTTCTGATACTTAAATTTTGCAAATTTTATTCTCCTTTTGATCCTATTGATTTTCATCATAACTTTTCTTATTAAATTTTATCTGCATTGTCTTAATCTGCTGTAGATATTTTTGGAATATTTTCTAAAGATTCAACTAGTGTTTAAATCAGTTAATATTTTTGTTTAATTTTGCTTTACGTCAATATATGGTACAATCTTATGTTTATCCACCCAGTACTATGAATACTAATGATAAATTCTATTTTCATTATATTTAGAAGTTTTTCAATACTTAAAGGCTTTTCTTAGGATTTTCTTCATATAAAAGTATAGGGAAGTAGCAAAATTAAATTACACAAAGAAAACAAAATTTAGAAAAGCTAATTAAATTGTAATATATTTTACTTCAAAATCATATAATCAGTAGTTGAATAACTGTAATCATACATAAGTCCATTTGGAATATTTTGAAATGGTTTTCCTGCAAGAAACTTCATGATTTTTCATATTTTTAAGGTTGGCAACTATGCCATGTCTAGCCATGTAACAGTTGCTATTGTTTCCAAAGGCATGTGCTCAAGAAACTGATTTCTGCGTATTCTGTGCCTCAAAGTTACTTGAAATTATAATTGTTTCGTTCATCTGTTATAATGTATTTGTAAAATAAATAATTGTGGTAAACTATTTTCTGTCATGGTGTAACAAGTTTAAAGGCCAGTGTATTGCAACATCTCCAAAATCTCAGACTTTAAAATTTTTTTATAAGTCCTGCTATGTATACTTTGATGTAATGTTATTTCATGTTTGTAAATAATATATTTGTATTCTTTTTTGTACAGATTTTTCACTATGATTGGATGGCTGGATCGGAACCAAATGCAAGTGGGATATGCATAAAATCTACGGTCATGTATAGTATGGCTCAGTCTCCAGCTTATGTTTTGAATGGTAATGATTATGTTTTTTGTGCCATTGTTTATTAACTATGGGAAATTAATTTGGCAGTTTTGAGACAAACTTACACCATGAAATGTAATTCAAACAGGAATTTTTTTTTTTTTTTTTTTTTGAAAAACAGTAGAATACACATATTCTATTTATAATAGCAATGCCATTTAAAGCTTCTTGTGCTTGAGCAATGTATCTTTTTTATGTAATTACTTTTAATGGAGCCCTGACTGCTTTGCCTGAATCGCTTTATGACCAGTTTAATGTACAAACCTGAAATGGCATAGTAAACAGAGTTTCTGTCTTGATTTAGATAAAAAGTTATAATGAATAGTAATAAGGAAAAGGGATTAAATAGTAATTGGGATAAGAGATAAGTAATTGCACAGATGTTTTGGGAATTTGAAAAAGTAATTTGATAATATATGTATCATTCTTAACATAGTTGGACCAGTTCGCTGATTTTACATTGAGTCAAAGTAAAGATCTGAAGAACTGTTAGGATTTTATGAGCAGGAAATGGGAAAAAAATCAGCTATGTTTTTGCTGATATTTGAATTCTAGGTCTTCCCAATGCCAGCTGAATATGCTTCCATTCACACCAAGAAGGCATGTTGTGGGGATGATGAAAATTCATCTTGTCCCCCCCCCCACCTAAATGAAGGAGACCTGGTTGCCAAATCTAGGTGGTTAGGTGGTGACAAATTACTGTCCATTCCATTTTTAGTAGAGTTTCACATGTAGAGATTTGTTAGGCTTTTTGAAGCAAGAAAGGGCAGTTGGAACTCTGGTTCTTCTAATTGCCAGTTGGAAGCACTACCGCCTATATACATACTAAGCTATGTAGTGAGAAAAGCAAAAAATACTTAGCATGACATTTTTGCAAAACAGAAGTTTACTATGCCCTGAACTAGGAAAGTTGATTTTTATTTTTGGGTTCAAAATTCATATCAGGTTGTGGCTAACAACTAAACCCTTTTCAGTAATTTAAATTGCCCTTATATTTTATCTAAGTATTCACTAATTTTAGGTATCCTTATCGAACTTAATGATCCCTGTTGCTAATTAATATTTCAGACCTTTTATCATTTAACATCCTTGCTTCCAATGTAATGCGAAGAAGTTTCCCCATATACCCATTACCCTGGATCACTTTCTGTGTGCTCGAATGCATTTTCCCATTAAGCTTAGTGTACAAAAATAATTCCTGTAACACGTTTTTTATCTAAATATTTGGATTTTTGAATATATTACTTAAATGCTAATATGAACATTACTTAAATAATAAAAACATTATTTAAATATTCTTATTACCGTGTTTGACGGCATATAAGATGCTCCCTTATTTAGGCCACACATGCCATCGGTACCACAATAACTTAAAATGTGGTTTCTTTTAGTTCTCACGTTTCATAAAAGCCAAATAAACAATCATTGAATGCAATTACCAAACATATTTTTATTAAGGAAAATTAACAAATGGCAAGCTATTTTTTTTATCTGTAGGTGGTGGACCGAAATCCTTTGCTGCTGCTCTGTTTCCATGCACTTTGACGTAGTTTAACACCCCTAGTTTATACTGAATTGTATAGCTTAATCTTTTGTTTCCTGTAGTCATATTGTCCAGGGTAAACAGTTTTAAGCACCGAGCAGAGTCGTTGGCAGAGTCAAAGAAAGTCTATGTAAAGAAGGAAAGGCTCCATAGAGTAATGTGACTGTTGAACCTGTTCGAACTTCAACATCAGCTTTGAACTTTAAAGCTTTTTGGCGACAGATATTTCACACATGCGCAAAATAATTATGGCAGATGTAGAAAAAGTTATGCATGTCTAGACCTTTATCCGGGCTAAAAATAGCATTCAGTATTGAAAGTTAACCTGTGTCCTTCACATATAACCACGCAAGTAACTTTTTTGAGACCAAGTTTAAGAAAAAAAGTGCATCGTATATGCCGTCAAATACGGTATATAAACAGATAATCCTAATACTTAAATATATTCAGAATGAGTTAAATTGATGCAGTATTAGTAATAATGATTATATTCCTATATTTAAATTATTTCTGTAAAATTATAAAATAAAAAACATATGGATATAAATGTTAGTGCTTATTATATCCTAGTGTCATATTTGCCTACAAAAGTTTGAAGCTACTTGCATTGCATAAAACATTTCTAAATTATAAACATGCATTGGTAGCAGTGTGCATTTTATTTTCATAGAAGAATATAATATTCATCATAACAATTCTAAAACACTAGAGATCCTGTTCAATAAGCTTTTACAGCTCTCTAACATAATTAATAGGTATTTAAAATGTGAAATAAAATACTCCATTTCAGTTCATCAAATATGATAAGGTGGGCTGTCAGTGACACTTTGCTCTGGTATCACATTTGTTACTGTGGGCGTATAGGGGGAGGGAACTGAGCTGTATCATATATGATATGCTGGGAGTGAAGAGGTTAAAGCAGAAAACCCAAATCTCTTATAAAATCTCTAATAAATTGAATTCTTTAGGTGGATGAGAGATGATTAATTTATGAAACGTTTATAATGAAAATGAAACTTCTAGTAATTCAGGCATGAATAAGATCCATATGATGGTGCAATAGGAGGGGCAGAAGGTAAAAAGAAAATAGCATTCAACTTCAATGACTATGATTGATTTCAAGATAAATCATTATTAATTTTAAAAAAAAGGTTTTTCCTACATATTCTACAGCAGCACACAAAACCACTGTTATTTTCTCCCTTCATAAAATTTATATGGAATGTTATTTGTTTTACATTTTTTTATAATTTTTAAAAAATTGTTAAATGCTTTTTGGAAGGATAAATATACATAAGTAAAAATGTTCATTAAATATCATAATGAACTTTCTTTATGTATTGAACAGGGTTGCCACGCTACCTGGAAAACCGGGAGAACCGGGAAAAGTCAGGGAATTCGAAAATTGACCAAAATATTCAGGGAAAAGTCAGGGAATTTAAGTATTTTTGTCAAAATCTGGAAAAGTCAGGGAAGTTCATACAACGATCCCGCCAAAAAAAGCGGTTTTTGCGCCGACGTCGGAAGAGGTAACTTTTTTGGCGAATTATGTATCACGTGAGTGTCATTCGGGTAGCTGGCATAGAGCCAATTTTCGCAGCTCCAATTTGATTGTCTTTTAGAAAGGCAAAGCAACTTTCCGCAACTTTTGGTTTCCAGTATTCTCGAGAATCGCATGTGCAGTGCATGAACTAAAGAAAATACCTGTTCTTGTATAAAACAAAATGGGTTTAATCCTAGTATACGGTACTATGGAGGTTAGAATCAAAGAATATGTATTGTAAAGAAGGAAAACCTCTCTGCAACAGACGTGGCTGTGGCTCCGTTCCATCATAGAGGGAAAACAGCTGTGCATGTCTGATATATCTGACACCAAAGCTCGAAACCGGTGTCGAAGTTCGAAGGTCACGTTATCAAGAGTTCATAAAATGAATATCGTTTAAAATTTCTTTAACCACTTGCGCTAAAAAGACGTGCCACGCACGTCAAGATGCTTTTGTCTCAAACCGCGAGCGACGTGAACACCACGTCGATAAGCATTTATCGCAAAAATGAAAATAACGTGGTGCACATGTCGCCTAACAACGAGATTGTTTATTTCTCGAGTTACAGCTCTGGATTGCACTCGCAGATGCGGAGCGGCGTAAATGAGACACTTTACCGCTTGTTATATTGTAGCGCACGGCACCACAACCGTGAAGTTTAGTCTTAGCGCAAGTGGTTAAACTCTAAAGGAAAAGAAAATATTTTTTGGCGCAAGTAAATTAATTCATGGATTAGTTATTTTCAGAGAAAAAAAAAACTACGAAAATCCGTTTTTAAAATTATTGCGAAAAATCCAAGAAGAAACGTCCTTTGATAAAACGTTTCTTCTTGGATTTTTCGCAATAATTTAAAAACGGATTTTCGTAGTTTTCTTTTTGTCAAAGAGCGTTTCTTCTTAACACGTGTTTCTCAATTTCCTGTACACATCGCGGAGAGGGAAATTCTACCGCCAGGTTCCGTCGCCAAATCCCTTGGCAAATTTTCCCTCCGCATTCTAGCGGCGTAATAGCATTTTACTTGTATGGAACCTTTTCTTCTTTACATAGACGTTCTTTGGTTAGAATAATAATGGGATTTGGCGACATCTTGATGCGCAGTAAACGGGTCATTTTGGTCTTGGCGACAATTTTCAAAATCGTGCCAAAGCCTTACCGTATACTAGAATTTTACCGCAAAATCTTTTTAAACCTTTTTTTTTTCTTTTTAATAAATACCTTGCCATTTTGCAGTAAAATAAAAAAATAGTAATCAGTCATCTAGGCTAGCCATGTAATATAACTATATTCGCTAAAATATCGTTGATTATTCTAATTCAATTTTTAAGTAATTATTTTTATGTTATTCATATAATTTAATGTTGCTTCTTCCCTCTAAATTTATTTATTATTAGTAAATAATATTTCCAAATTTCAGGAGGAAATTTTCTCTGGCATAATCCTGAAATTAATTATAGCAGTATGATGACATACCATCACGAAATTTAATGCACATATTTTTTCCTTATGTATGCTGCAAAATAAATATAAAATACCTCAATTTATTAAAATAGATTTCTTTCTTTCGTTTAGCTGCAGAATGTCTGCAAAAAAAAGCCTTATTTTATTCCAGATTGGGAAGATTCTAATCTCAATCTTCAGTGGAGAAAACAACAACTATTATAATTATATTTGTGTTTTCAAGTGTTAAGGTGCCTTTTAAGAACATACCTCACGCAAATTAAATTTACCTAAAATCTAACCTAACTATTTAGCATTGCGTTGTGATTTATAAGGACCGGATTAGCCTCGTGTTGAACTGGTGATGATCATGAGTAATAATTAAATAAAACATACATTTGTTATCCAATATATATATCTTAAATTTTATTAAGTTTCTTAAGTGGAAAACTAAACAAAATTATCAAACAAAGTATACCAAGAATAATTAAGAATAAATGTCCTCTGGGATTTATTGAATAATTAAGTGAATTTGCTACACAATACAAGTAATACCATAATTAATTTACCTCTTAGCACAGCCAACGTACATTACGCGGATAGACTGGAATTTTCTTGAAACACACCTGGAAAAGTCAGGGAATTTCATTCTCCTGTTTGAGTGGCAACCCTGATTGAAATCATTATTAATTTTTATACCAGTGTATAAGATTTTCAGGAGTATTTATTTATTTAGTTAAGACTCATTTACCGGAGATCATTACTGTGATAAGGTTATCCGCCTCCACATTTTTTCTTTTCTGGGGTGCCCTTGGTCCCTACTTTGCTTCTGTGGATGAGAGCATATGGCCACTTGGGACTCACACTGTTGAAGAGCTCCTGGAAAGGGAAGGTATCCACACAATGAATTGGCCATCTTGCTTCCTTGATTGAAATACAATTGAATGTTTGTGGAGTACTTTAGAGAGACACCTGGCAGCATGGTTTTACCATCCAAATTGACAGATGTTGCACCACAACCTTTCCAGTTAGGGAAAGTCATATGCGTTACTAAGGCTGTTTGGTTTGTTGTTCTCCCTCTTGGCCAGTTTTTGTTGTTCTCCCTTTTGGCCAGTTTTTAGCACCAACACTGTTCTGTTAATAAAGCTTTTTTTATACATACTGTATACATCATATTAATTTTTTTGCTACTATTCTATCCTCATCCTTTAAGTACTACATTATGTCTCTATGATTCTCATGTCTCCCGATTGAGTTTTTAAGGAACTATAACCAAAATTAGGAAGGTTGTTCAGGTTTTGCACACTAGGATGGATGTATTTTGAGAGTAGATGGGCAATTCTGAGGTATTATTTGTAAAAATATAGTCAAATATAATTTTTAACAATTTGAAAATTTTTCATTCTTTCTTGAATTTCAGGAGCCTATGGTGGTCAAATAGTAAGGCAGCTAAATACTGGTAGTTTGATCAAAGTTCAAATCTGAGTAAATCAGCTGGCTGCATGCTAGTTTTTATGGTTTCCCTATGTGTAATGTGAATAAGAGCCAGTTTCTCTTAAATAGTCTGCTGAAAAGCGTCCTATTCCATGCAAGGTTTGCCATAACATAAATAATTCAATCCAGCGTCTTGGGCCCACCAGCGGCCGAGCGGTAAAGTCGCTGAACACTGGTAGTTCGGTCCGAGGTTCGAATCCCGCGAACAGGCTGGCTGCATGGGCGTTTTCGTGGTTTTCCCCATGTGTAACGTATATACGAGCCAGTTTCCCTTAGAAAGTCCTCCACGAAGGCATCCCTCCTCTTAGGCAGATAGCCCTCGAGGCTTTGCCATAATCACACACACACACACACAATCCAGCGTCTTAAATTTGTAATTTACCACATTATTGGACTGCTTTTGCACACAGTTAAGATAATTTAAGTCTTTTAGCTGTCGTTTCGCATGCTTTTTTATCTGTTTGTTACAATTCTTTTCATGTATCTTACACAAGAACATCTTTTGCAGATTGGAAATCCACAGAGTATTCAACCTGGACCGAAAGTGTATGGCTTGAGACATCTGCAAGAATTTTCCTCCAACCGGGAAAGACGCAAGAAGCAATCACTTTGATTACTGGCATTATAATATTTTTTATCTCGATCACTTCTGTCTATTTTGTGAATGAACGTTCCTCAATAATTTTTAACACAAAGCCTCTTGTGGGATGCTAGGATTTTGCCACAAATCACATAGCTTTGGATGAATTTGGGATGGATAATGACACCCATTGTCCACCACCGGCAGAGCTTTGAATTACTTCTTCTGTTTGAGATGCTTTAGTACCTTTGTCATTATGTTAGGATCATGTGTCATAACTGCTAATGTGTGCATATTTACATGCATATATATCTATATTACATTTATTATTAGCGAGTCATTTCAAGCTACATTATACAGGGTGTTTGTAAAAAGTGGCGACATGCTTTATTTCCTTCAAAATTCTTCAAAGCCAGGATTTGATAAAAGCAATCTCAACATTAAATTGGAGGATACTTATGTGATCTGGAGCAATTTTGCTTTTTATATTGTGTTCATACAGTAGAAATTCCTTTGCTTTGTTATTTCAGCACCTTTATGTTTAAGAAATTTATTTTAAAAAATGAGTATTTTGATTTGGCTCATTATTTCATTTTAGTACAAAATTTCGTGAACAATTACCAATTTGTAACAGTTTTACATAGTGATTCTGTGCAGCACTGTTCCTCTTTACCTGGAAAACCAAAGGAATAAAAAAATAGCCGAGAAAAAGAAACATGTAATTTTTTTAGAAAAAATTCAGGGATGTTGGATTTAGAAAAGTTTGGGAGAAGAATCAATCCTCTGAAAAAAGTTCTTAATTTAAATGTTGACTAATAAAAAATATGACTTCTTAAAAGAAAACAAAGATTTATTATTATTATTTTTTCTTGTTGAAATTACTTTGTTGACTTTATGTCTGATACAATATTATCCATCTATAGCTTTCTCTTCCCCCTTGTTTGAACTGTTGTTTATTTCTCTTTTTAGAAATATAACTCTTCTATTACCTATCTCTTAAGAAATGTAACTCTTCTCTTATTTACTTCTCAGTAATGAGGCAGATAAATTAGATTTTTGTAACAATTATTTTAATTTTATTTTGTAATAAATACTTACAGTTATTTAGGTTTGCTGTTTTTGAGGTGATCAGACATGGGTCCCTCTGAGGAGGAGGACTCATGTCCAGTTGTCTTCAAGATCAAGTAAAGATTTGTTCAAAATCAGAATCAAGTGAAAGTTCCTTTTTTGCCTAAATTTAACATTAATTAATATGTATCTTTTCTGATTTGAATTGTTCAGATATTCATACTAAATCTGATAATTCACCATGTATGGTTAGGAAAATAATGCAGCTTATCATGGAAAATCAGGAAAAAGATAGAATTTCAGTAGAAAACCAGGGCAAAACAAAAGTTACTGATTGATGATAATGATCACACTTTTTGTAAGAAAGATCATCATTTAATTTATGTGTTAACCTTTTTTGTATGAAAATATTTAAAATTTTCTCTGCAACATATAATTAGTGTTTCAAATTACCTTAATAATGTTCTGTACAATATTTTAAGAGACCCTGAAGTAAATGTCGAGGATTAATGTTTTAGGAAATAAAGACTATAGCCATTATTTACCAATACCTAAAATGAATTTTTAATTTTGTTTTTGCTAAAATAGAAAGAATGTTAAAATAAGCCATATAATCAGTAACATTAAAAGTTGGCAAAAATGTAAATATCTTTGAATAATGGATGTAGCAAGTAAAAATGCTTAATATCTGTAACTATTTCACCAGCTGAAAGTTGTGTGTTCTGTATTAGCTAGAAATTTGCATACATTAGGCCTAAAGTATTTATTTTGTTTAAAGTTGTATGTATTAAAAAAAAAAATTCTTCATAGCAGCTAACCTTTCTTTCTTTTCTACCTCAGAAAATCATAAAGCTTGTGTGTTTCATTTGTATATATATGTGAATGTTCTACATCTTCTAGTAGAAACCAGTCGCTAATATTGGTTTTATATGTCACATGACTATTCAGAAGTATGTTTGTTGATGATTTGCTATTAAATCTTAAAGATTTTTTTTTTTGTAAACTGTATGTGTCACACTAAAAATTTTTATTGTTACAAACAATCAATTTGAAAATAACCTAAAATTCTCTCTCATTCATGAACATCGGGTTATATAATTTCATTTGTTTCAGAATTGAAGGACGCTTTAAAAATTCATCTTCTATTTTAAAAAAGCATCAGAATTATAGAAAAATAAGTTTCATTTAAAGTCTTTAAAACTAGTGATAAAAATAATTAAATTTTAGGTCATAATTTTTTATCATATATTAAAAATCCATATTGCTGGAACTTAAGACCTTATATTCATTGTGTAACTGAATTAACATTTAATTTTATTATAAAGTTGATCTTATGGTAGCAGCACTTTATAAATGTTCTAACATACACTTACTTGTTTAAATATTGCTTTTTAAGATTGAAATGAAACTGTATAAATTTATTTCTTTTACAAAAACTTTTTAGTCATTTATAATTAACTTTGAGAGTGAAAAATAAAATTGTCTTAAAATGTCTTTGTATGAATACTCAATTGTTTAAGAAATAAATTTTTCATTTTTTTTTTCAATAAATAAAATGATAAACATTATTTCTTTAAAAAAGGACACTTTTTTTTGGGGGGGGGCTTGTTGTTTGTTTACATATATCATATTTTGGTTTCTTAGTTTTTCAAATGAGTATGTATCTTTTTAACAAAACAATATTAAAATGTTAAATCCACATCCTTGCTGTTAAGGAAAAAGAAGTAAGTTTTGTTTTTAGTTTAGTTTGTGTGCAGAGGTACTGGCATATAAACAGACCAATGGATATCAATCTCAACTGAATAATACACCTACATAGCATTGCATTTGAGTACATTGTAAGAAATTACTTGTTATCAAAATAAATGCTAATGTGATTGTACTATTACAGCTTCATCCTAAAGCTCTGTGATTTGTGGGATAGAGAAATTTTGTATATTTATGGCAATTTGTTTATTTCAGGATTATGAACAGTATTTCATCTGTAATTTATTGTCATGAGTATCTGTAAACATATTTATTTTAAATTTTGTAATAAAGTTTTTATTTGATATGACTTACCCAAATGTTTTCATTGATGATATGTTTACATCTAAAAAATTACATGAAACATTCTATTAACACTAGGCTTGAACCGTTTAATTAAAACATTCTGACCACAAAATTTGTTTCTTGAAAGTTCATAGCAGCTTCATATTCTTCTCACATTAAGAATTGATCTTTTTTATATGTGTAAAGTCAAAAGAACCCCATCTTCCAAATACCCATTATAAACAGAGACAATATATTTTGTAATTTTAGCTGAACTGTTCCACAATGAAGAGTTGAAAGCCATCAAAAAGAATCTACATTGGTTCTTTAATGGGCCTTAGCCTTGGATCACTGATGAGCCACCAAGGCAACTCTAGGCATATCGTCTTAAGGAATATAATTATTCAGTTTTAATGAAACTTTGTTTGAGAAATAATTCTGAATACATATGAAAAATTTAATTTTGAAAAGTAAAAACAGAATAGAAAACTAACATTTTTTGCATCAAGCTATATTGATAATTCTAGCGTTAATTCTTTAGTGATATTGAATATGCATTTAAATAATGCATTATAATGGAGTCTGTGATACTAAACTATTAAGACACTTACCTAACAGCAGTTAGCTAACAGGGCATTTAGCCAACATGGACATTTAATCAATAGAAAATTTAGCCAGCAGCACATTTAATCAACAACACATTTAGCCCCGATAGCATGTTTAGCTGACAGTGCATACATATAGACAACAACAGCAGGAAAAAAAAAAGAGCATTCAACAATGTTTTAGTAAAATATGTTCATATTTATCTGATAATATAATAAGGCTGTTTTCAAGGGTACACAATGAGGTTTATGGACAAATGCTAAAGATAATATAAATTTGAAAATTGGACAGAAAAGCAGCATTATTTTGGCAAAGATGCTGAAATCAATTTTGAGAGCAATCAGACAGGAGTAAAATGATTTTATAAAGAAAGAAATGGGTGAAGCCAAGTGAAAACAAATATAATGTGATCTATCGAGAAAAATAATAATGGAGCATGAAAAAGCTAAGATATTGGAATTTTGAAAGCATTGGAAAATTAATGTCATTAATTAAATTGGAAAAAAATTTGTTAATGTGAATGGGTTCAAAGAGTTTCAGTTTACTCACTGAAGGAGCTGGATGAAAATTTTTTTTTAGTTTGAAAATCAAAATTATAGTTAAATGTCCAATTGTGATTAACTGTCAAAAATTAATTTATTTCTCCTTCCAAGCAAGCTATTCAAGTTCCCCAACAAGAAATTTCAAAGCTCTTTCAATTTACAGAATGTACATGTCAAATCACGTTGACATGATAGGTTAAAATTCAGCAAGATGTAAAATCAAAGATGAGTTCTCTAAGAACTGAATAACTTATTTTACTGATAAGTGAGAAAATGATTTAAAAGCTGAACTTATGGCGAATCCGGCCAATTTTGTAATTGACAAATAGATTAAACAGTATTATGGCACCACTGTTATGATTATTTTTAATGTCAAAATGTACTTTATGATGAGCTGCCTGTTATGGGCTCTTTTTTTTAATATCTTTGTGATGCATTTTTAATATAAATATCTATTAAAACATGTTTTAAAATTTTCTTATTGTATGGTACATATTCATAATTATACATGCAAATTAAGAATTAAAATAAGTGTAATATTTATCAAATTGACCATTTTGAACAGATAAGTCCAAAACTGTGTAAATGCTTAATTTTTTTATCGAGCTTGATTTTATGATACGTACTTTAATGAAGTTTGTTAAATTCATAACAAAATAAATTCATCAAATTTATATAACCTATATTTATATTTTTGGATTGTTAGATGGATGGTAGCTTCAAAACAGAGCTATTTATTTTATTTTTAACAAATTGCTAAATATTAGCAGTAAAGTGTAACTGCAGATGAAATAAAAGCAGAATTCTTTTTCTGTAAATACTCATAAATAGTATTTCACACTCTTCAGTACTAAACATCCTGTTTTAAAATATTTCCTGTATATGGTGTAGTATATTTTTTATGGGTAGCACAGGCCTTGTATTTTGTTAAAAAATTTTGAGACCTTATTACTTAAAACCTATTTACACAATGCCTTAGGAACATTACATTTCATCAACTTATAAGCAAGTTTCAGTCTCACAAAGTTGGTTGCCATTTACTAAAAGGCTTTCACTTTCTATAATAGAAATTGCCAGTTCAACTTCTAATATTTCATATATTGATCATAATTCTTTACTATAAATCTGTTCCTGTTTGCTTCACCATGAAAATCATGTCAATTTAACACCTAAATAATATCTCATTTCCATGATTATATATTATATCATGCATCCATAATCTCCAGCATATAAGTAGACCAGAAGATTTTATCTAAACAGTAATTTAGGCTATCCAACTTGTAAGTTGATCCTCTGTTTATTACGAATTGATCCAATTTTTCTGTCTCTGAAAACAGAAAAGCAAAACTATAGTAAAATCATTTAAAAAGTGAAATAATATTTCAGTTCATTGGATTAAGATGGTAATGATTATTTGCAGAAAACTAATTGTGAAAGTTTCTGATAATTGAAACTTGGAATAACATCCATACCAATCGGGCTAAAGATGGGGAGAGTATAATAAATGAACATACGATTTGATAGTTGAATTTAGTTCTATGTTTATGATTGAAAGGTAAATCAATTTAAAAAAATAAGTTTACCACAAAAATTCATTTTTAACAAGCTTCGACAGCAAACAGAAAAATCTTGCAACTAGAACACAGTTAAATCCATAATATCAAAATGATAGTACTTTCAAAAGGTCTAACTTTAAATCAGAAATTATAGGTAAAAGACTAACAATTTGACTTGAAATTGGAAAACATTTTTGCTGTTTCAGCTGCCCAGCATAGCAAACTTTATGCTACCATTGAACCGAGGAGTTATGCAAAACATATAAATCCCTTTTTATGCGTCGACCATGATATTCGGAAAAAATTCACACTAAGTGATGCCATACTTGATTTGTCATTTGCTTGAAAAGATATAAAGAATATTACTTTACCTAGCTGTTGATGTACATGTTCATATTGATGAGTCAAATGATGAAACAATTATGGAATTTTAAAACACATTTTATCTAGATGTGAGTCTATAGCCTACATTTTGCATTTTGTTATATGTTAAGAAAGTTAGTGATGAGGAAATGTAGGCTAATATAGATGCAGACAATTTCCTGCCTTGTTCTCTCAAAATGACTAAGTAGTTAGACATGTGCTGGAAAGCGAAGGTGATAAGACAAAGGGAAGCTGACATGAGGAAGGTAGTTAGACATGTATTGGAAAAGGAGGCTGACATGAGCAAAGAAGTTATCTGAAAGAGAGTTGGCAAAGAATTGCACACTTTCTGAGAAATGTTCATATATCTCAGTATATGATGTTATGAAACTTCATTGCATAGTGAATTTTGAAAACTATAGTGACAATTTTGTACATTGTAAGAAATGTCCACTCAAAGAAGAAATTTGAAGTTAGTGAACTTTTAAAACTATAGCAACAATCTTGTACATTTTGTGAAATGACATTTCTTTCTGGCAGGCATTCAAAGTTGTATCTCATCGCACTGAGAAATTCATAACTTCATATGATAATATATATAATAATTTTAAAATTAATTAGTTTTTTGTTTTTAGGAATATAAAATTGTGAGTTTAAGTTAAAATAATCTAGGATTTTCAATATTATTTACTTAATTTTGGCTGATAGATAAACACTATTCAATGGAACTTGCATGCTACAATTTCTACAGATGGCATCACAAAATATGAACAGGCAAGTTCTGGAAATATATGTTGAATTATCTCAAATTGGTGAAGTCCTGTTGCTGTCAGTTAAGAGATTTTGCTATATATAGTTAAAATTCTCTTTGTAAAATTTGCAAGAATATTGTTTTTCATAAGTAATAATTATATGCATAATATTTTATTTAGCACAACAATATGAGTCTGTGTAACTTAGCCAACAGGACAGTAAGCCAACATAGCATTTAAACAACAGGGATATTTAGCTGACAATGCATGCATTTAGATAAAAACATGCCAAAATGATTTAGTAAAATTTGTCCATACTTATATGACAAAACGCTGTTTCCAGGTTAACAATGAGGAGGTTGCTGTACAGATGATAGATTTTAAAATGCATTCTGAAATTACAATAACCATACCAATCCCAGAAGTTTAGTCTAAATACCACACTACTATTTCTTTACATTACAACCATAATTATACTTGCATGTTTCTCCTGATATGCCTTTTAAAAAATTCATTCTTTTTTTAAAATTTCACTATATGTAAATATATACATTTCAAATAAAATAAAGTATGTAAAATTTGCCATTCAGAGCTTAAATCAAGCACTAATGCAGCTGAGGTTAATTAAATTTACTGAATAAGATTATCATCTCAGAAAAAACTATTGTAAATTTGAAGATTTTGGTTGCTAAAAATACAACATGAAAGTAGTATATTAATTATTTCTGATTTCATATAAAAAAAAGGCTGACTTTTCCAGGGGTATTAGCCTTTTTCGATATAATTATCAGTGATTGAGGAATTCTGAATCATGTTTCATCTTCCCAGATTCCTTCCTTCCTCAAGGGCCAGACAGACAGGGTGGCCCTGGCTTTCTGCAGGCCAAACCTCTCCCTGCTAATGTTTTCCAGCTTTGGGTTTTTCAGATCAGTAGGTCATTTTCTCTTAGATTTGGTCTGCCTTTTTTTCGTGTGCCTGTTAGTCTGGCGTGTCTTCCCAGATTACTTCAGTGAAATTAGATTTTATTCAATATTAATTTAAGTCTCAAGTAATTTAGAAAAATACCTCACTAGAATTCTGATCCTCGTTAAAAAACAAATGAAATTCTATAAATATAATAGAAAACACCTGAATTTACTTAAAAAAAAATATTTGGCATAGATCAAAAAAATACTTTACTTGTATTGCAACTGACTACTTTTTCTGGGAT